TACGCGGGTGCGTCGTCGCTGGCTTAAAAACTATACGGACTTGTTAGACAGCTAAGGTCAGCTCAAAAGCGTGTCCGGCTGACCCCAGCGCTTTAGCAGCGTTGTTACGATATAGTAACGCCATGTCCACAGATTTTTCGTTCCAAATCTTCTCTTTGATTGACTGCATAACGTGAATATCAAGGGGAGCCCCTTCTCCTATGGCAAGCAGTGGGACATGTCTATTGCTTCCGAAATCGCTAGGAATAGCGGGCAGGGCTACTAGAGAATGAAGAGAATTGTTGCCCATCGCCCAAGTTGTAAAAGGGGAGTAATTTTGTACTTGAGATCTGATGAGCCTGGGCCTGAGTAATTGCCACGTTATTGGTTCCGATATGAGGCTGGCCTGGGCCTAAAGCCGTGTTTAGAGCAAGCCCTACAGCTGGGGAATCCCCAGCATTGTCCTGGTGTGTTGTTGCGTCAGGTTGCAGTCCTAATGCAACTGAACTGAACTCATCACCTGAAGAGGTGAATGTTCCGGGCAATCCGCCTCCGGCGGAACCTGCGCTGAGACTCCCGGCCTGTCCGCTCGTCACTGGGGTGGGGCACGTCGCCGCACCGGTATCCTCTGCCATCGATCTCCCGACTGATGGGGTGGCCTGATCCGTTTCGACCGTAGTGGTGAAGGCTCCGGCACTCGTAGGCGCAGACCTGGACTCAGCAGCCTAGGACTTGCGGGGCCGACCGCGGGGACGGGGGGGGGGCATACGGTGTAGGCGACCGTTCGGCCCGGTGTTTCCGCTGCTGTTGCTGTCGGGGCATATTGCGCCGTGACTGGTGCTCGGCAACCCAGCTGGGGAAAGGTGCTGGCAATCTCAGCAGCTCGTCCGCGTACAAGAAATGTCGCAAACCTGTCGCACGCAGTCCCAGGAAACCAATCCGCAAGCCAACGCCTGTAAATTCCAGTAGTAACTTCAGCAATCCATATGGGTTGCCTCTTCCATGTGTAAAGGAAATGTCAGACACAGAACAAGGGAACCACCCCTTTGGCTAAAACGACTGAAACAGCTCGGCGGTAGAAAACAACCGTTGTAAAAAAGCAGCATTCAAACCAGCAGAATTTAATTTGTTTGTTGCCACCTTGAAAATCTAAGCCGAAGTGGCCCATTTTTAGTGCCAAACTTGCTGTGGTTCAACCGTTATTTCCTTGAGGCCTTCTGGCTTCACCAATTATTCCCCTCGAGACAGTTTAGGTGTCTGGGCCCGGAAGAAGTACCACATTCTCTGAACCCTCTGAGGCCTCTGTTGATTGATGCAAGGCCATGCAGCCACTTTGCTAATCCCATTACATGATTAAGCCAGCTAGTACAAGACAGTGATGGGTGAGACAGTAGTGCCTTGTTCACCATGGTATAAGCCAGATGACCAGGACTGTTTCAACGACTAAACAACGTGCGATGTGGTGAATAATGCATTTTATCCCAAAGCGATAAAATACAATAATATAATATTCTCAAATCAGAATGATAACATTAAAACAACAGAGTGATTTCTTATGTGTTTCAGGGACCGTTAATCCATCAAGAGTATTCTTCAAAAACGGTTCAACCAGAGACACCAAGCTTATGTGGTGTGAAAGGCTTGCAAAAATTCGCGATCGCTGCAGCCGAATCGGGTAGACCAAACTACCTCGTTTTACACTTTATAGCTCAATAAGCAAGAGATTAGGTCCACATTTGTCATGGACATCTTTCTACAGCATTTCACTTTGCTTGACTTTTAATAAAAATGATGTCCACAGTAATACAGACCAACTGCATAGGTGCCAACTTCGTACTCCAGCATCCTGGCTGTTATTCGTAATTATTTCAACACTGACAGCATTACGTACAATGCCATTACTGAATAGATAGGACCTATGCATTAATGCCTATCAATTAGGCAGCGAGATAACTGCAGGGCCTATTGTCGATGCCACTGCTTCAAATGGAGGTTATCTCTTTCTTGATTATGCCTTTATTTATGAATAAGGTAAGTCATACAAAGCATCATTTTCCTATACGATAGCGTAGAGATATACGCGTACTTTTTCCAAATCTCGCCATCGCATCTCACGGTGGCAAATTAGGACGTCGTTACGACTGATCATCAAATAAGTTGTCGCGGGGAAAGAGCAGGTGGAA